TCCACCACACAGTATGGATGTGTTATTACAGCTGCTGCAGTAACCCTGTCCAGGTGTAGAAGACCAACCAGGAGGACAGGGAAGTGGCTGAGACATTCCACTATCTGGACAGTAACTTCCTAAGAAACAAAGAAAAAAAGTGTTTTTTACATTTTTATGAGAACTTTTTAGTTGTAAATAAAGCTATTTATATCAAACTTCTTTAAATGTTTGGGAGCAGAAGATTTGTTTTGTTTGTCTTTTATACCTGCTGGACACTGCAGACACTGGATCGTACACATAGTAGAATAAAAGCCCAGAGGACAGTCGTTACACACGGTGTGATCTGGATTGGGCTCCTTGCCAGGTCCACACTATAAGACATGTTGACAAAAGAGAAGAAAAAAAAAGAATGCCTCAAATGCACAGAATGTTGGAGGATTTAACTTCTTATCCACTATTATTAGGTCTGACCCTATAAGGGAAACCCGAGGTGCAGACAGAATCCACAGGACAGCTCAGACACTGCAGGACCCCCTCTGGCGAATGCTGTCCTGGGGGGCATAAATAAAGAATCCCAATGGTTGGATCACATGAGAAGCCTGCAGGACACAGCTTACAATCCACTCGTTCCTCTGAACTGATGAGATCTGGAAAACAAGGCTGCGACATAAAGAAATGAGCAATAAGAGCACACATGATGACAACAAAACAGCTTTGTAACTAATTATTCATTTCTGCATCGCTCTGCAGTCACTTGTCTTCACTTTGGCTCTTCTATGGGCTCTGCTATGACAAGTCATCATACTGTAGTTGAAACATGCATTTTCTCTTAATTTGAAAACAAAGCATGAAGCCAGAAGTGTTTTTGTTGTTTTGTTTTGCATTAACATGTCTTACCTTGCAGTCAGTGATACTGCTCTTCCCTGTGTACATGTTGAATGTTCCTGCTGGGCATCTTTGCGGTGCAGGCGAATTGCCAGAGCAGCTATAAAACAAAAGTAATTTATAATTTGTATAATTTATTATCCATTTTATAGAAAACTCTCTTATTAGTGAAAGAATACAGATCTAACAGTTCAAAAATAGTTGATGACTCACAAATGACCAGAGGGACACTCTAAGCAAAGCTGGTTGAAGAAGTATTTTCCTCCTGGACACTGATCCACATCTGTTTCCTCACTGAGGGGGTAGTCTGCACTCCCTTCAGGCGTTACATAAATTATTGTTAGAACAATAGATAGAACATTCTCGTGCAGTCAGTGTGGTTTTGGTAGTTATTTAGTTTAATTTGTCAATATTTAAAAAGGAGTTGCTTACCTGAAGAAACTCCAGACTCCGTCCGCAGTAAAAAGATAGCAAAAGCTAAAGAGCAGCGCAGGTGTATTATTTCCCATGAACACATTATTGCTGAATCACTTAGAAGTTGGTAACAACTAAGTTAACGTTAAAGACTTAATGGAGTTAGTCTCCCAGAGTGATCGTTTAAAGACTTGAAAGTGAGAGGCCCCCAGCCACTAAAAGTGAAACGTGCATGAAATCTGATTCCCAGGTGGTTGCTTCAGCTGACAATAGTGTGCAGTAATGTTCGGTAACTATATCTGCTTCTTTCAATAATGCATGACGCGTTGAAGTTCACCTAGATGGTGTCTCTGCTGGTGGATCATTTAAATTATTTATGTTGCTCTTGTAAGTCATTAAGATGCAATAAAGAAGAAACTGGTTTTTTTTAAGGTATTAAAAATGAAATTAAATCAATTCCATTGCCAAACATTAAATGTTTAATCACATAAGACCAATTATATTTTCACGAGGTAAAAATTTTAGGATAAATTATTTAATTACGGTGTAAAAGGAAATTCAAATGCAGCCTCTGTGGGTGCAGTGAGGACTAGTGGATCTGCAGACATTTTTGCGCCTGCACTTTGCAGGATGTCAGGTGCAATAAATGGAAAGTTATGAATATTTTTAAACAGCAACGTAATCTTTGGGTTACCACTTCCTGTACCCTCAGTCAAGCGTTGGAACATGTGTGTGGGTACTTAAGTGTGTTTGTGCAGGTGCATGCATCACCAGCCTACAGGAGCACAACAGATCCAGTTTCATCTTTTGAGGCAGGAGAAAATTAGAAAAACAGAGAACAGCAATGAACAGCTCAATCTATCTCACTTTACTCTTTTTTTGGATGACACGAGGTAAAGTTTATATGATGTTTGTTATTGCCCTGGGCTTTAGATATTTCAAACACATTTATTTAGACAAATGCACGCTATTTGAGGTAAAAAAAAATTTGTTACCTTTCTTCACAGATTGTGTAAACTGTATTTACACGAAGACACCCATTGATTTAGTGACTGTGGAGTTGGGGGACTCCGTTACATTAAATTGCACTTACAATTGCTCCAGTGGATTCGTTCAAGGCTACTGGAGTAAAGCGCTCGACATCTTTGGCTGCCACATGATGTTTAGAGAAGGCAGCTTTTGCACAGTGTTTCTTTGTCTCACCAATGTGTCCGCGGGACATCTGAAAAACAACTACACTTGCTACACAGTAGATAAAGAGGATCCTCAGCTTCAACAAAAAACAGAGCGTCTCTTTTTGCTTCAGCTTCGAGGTAGATAAACTTTAGTTTCTGCAAATATGTGCAGCTGCTCAATAAAGAGGTAAGAAAATTGGATTTCACTTTAACTTTTCCTTTTTTCAGCTCAGAGAAGTCTTCCAAACACAGATGCTCCAAAAAATTACAACAAAAATGGTAAGAAGCTGTGATTTGAAGAGATGCAAAATTTTTCATAGCTGTAGCTGAACATTTTTGAGCATGACTTTCATTTAATATATTGCATTCTTCATTCTTCAGCATCTTTTCCTGCCAAGCCAAATTCCCCTGGAGGTGAGATGGGACTCTGAAACAGTGGATATTATGAAAACTTTTAAAGAGAATCATTGTTACTTATTAACATCTGTATGGAGAAGGGAGAAGTAAATGTTTGCCTTTCGATCCAGTTCAGTCTAAGTTAATACTGTTGTTTCCATGTTAACAGGAGAATTTACTGGAATTAAGGTTTTGGCAACAGTTTCCGTAGCTGTAGCCCTGGTTCTTGCAGCATTGGCTGTATACTTGTGTTTTAATCGGAACAGACAGAACTGGAACGGTAAAGGTGATCACAAGATACTACACTGTGAACATACACCAGCTTTAAAAAGTTCTGAATGATAAAATATACACAACTGTGTCCGTATAACTATTTAACATTATATTGATAATATCTCATATTCCAGAGGAGCCTGTTGTGTCCAAATTGGAGTGAGTACAATTTCAGAACTTCTCTTTATTTAAATCTGACTTCAATTACCTTTAAATGTTAGACTTGCAATATTCTTTATTGGGCCTTTTGCTATATGTTTTCCTTTTCAGCTTACCACAATCACCACATGTAGCCCAGCTACAGATAAAAGGTAAACAGTTTTAAATATCAAATGTAAAAGCGACAAATACGAGCTTCAATTTTTGTTCCTTCTATTATTCATACCTGTCCTATTTCTCAGGGTCAACACAAAGTGAAAGGGTGACTTTGAGGATTCCTCCACCAGGTAAGACAATCTCAACACTTTTCATTTGAATGACACCTTATCATCATCTACCCTATAGAAACAAAGACAATAACTAATGAAACAAATGCTTTCTCTGACCCAGATAATGAGAGTGATACTGAAGTTCCTTACGCTGACATTATGATCACCGTCCGTGGTGTCAGCACACCAGAACTCACTCAGGTCGGCTACCTGATAGCCGGAGACCAAAAAGAGGTGAGAGACAAAGTAGTAAACATGTTTGTTACTTGTGTTTCACTGAGCTCGAAATGTTATTTCCCATGCTCTATTACCAGCTACTTGCAGTGTGCTGCAGCTCACATACCTGTGCATGATTCTGAATTGCTAATTGCAGAATATATAAGCAATGAGATTCATTTTATATCAGAAACGTTCATGTGTTCATCTTACTTGTTCAAAAAGTTTCTTTTACTCATTTCATATGTGAGGAATGCTATAAATAAAGCTAAAGCAAAAATAGAATATTTTTTAAGGTTTTAAACAAATTGTGGCTTTTTTTTATTTACGTGTAATTGTAAGGCGTGTGTGCAAAGCAATTTTTTGAGTGGTTACCTTCTTTTAAGTGGTTACCTTGTATAGATGTGCTTTGATAATTTAGAAGAAGAAAAAAACAGAAAAGCCTACAACCAGTATTTCTATTACCAGGGTTATTTTATCTAACTAAAGGTTAACTAAAAACTAAAAGTCGATGTGAAAACAAACAAACAAACTTTAATTAACTCAAAAACACAAACTTGAAAAACTAAATAACTAAAATTAAAAAAATAAAGGAAGTTTTAGTATTTGTTAGTTTGGTAAAAAAGAAAATGTTATCACAGCTTTTCTGATGAGGTTTTGATTACTAAGACTTTGAATGTCTACAAGACTGAGTCAAGTTTTTTCAAAACGTTCTGTGTTTTTATTATAATACCTGTGCTGATTTCCATTAATCTTGCCCATATATACGTATATTTTAAAAAGTCTAAAACTGTAAATAAATAAATAAATAAAAGCTAGTAAAAAGTGCGAAAGTATAAAAACTCTGTTTATAGCACAAACACATTAGGGGTCTTTTTTTTTATCCTTCTTCCCCTCCAGCGGTGGGGAGATAAACCGAGGTGTCACCTGCAGGCCTCTCGTTCAGCTGACAGACTGCATGTTCCCCAGGTCAGAGAGGTCAGCCGCAAGATGAGCACCAACTCTGAGTATGCAGTGATCACCTACGCCTGACTTCGACTGCTGCTGCAGAGGAATGTGAAGAAAAAATAGAGATGTGTTTTTTATGTATATATGGTTTTGAAGGATGTATTTGTTTTCCATTTATGCTTTTTTTATTCTATTGTTCGCGTGGTGTATCTGTATTGAGGTTTATATTCAATAAAGCTGTCATTTCTTGACTTTCATGTCATTTGACCCTTCCTGGTGGCCGTAGTAGCGCTAATCGTTGCTTAGAAACAACTATCAACAAAACACTCCGGGGTGAACAGTTGGTTTGGGGTTGCTGCCAGTTTTTAGGTATCCACTGTGACTAATTCATAAAATTTTTTGTTAAGGTTTCTGGTATTCTGAAGTCAGTTAATGAGAGTCGTTTAGAGCTAGTTGTCACAGACGTTTGTGCCCCCTTAAAAAATGGCAGTGCCTTTCTCAAACACTCACCTGCGGGTCCCGCGAGGATTTGGTACCATACTAGAGGGACTGACCCGTGAAGTCCTACGAGACCAGCCTGAAGACATCCCCAAATATGCCACGCAGTACTTCGAAGCTCTTCTAAAAGAAAGACAAGGTAACTATAACTTTCTGACTTTTAACGTGATGAAGTAACAGTATGTCCCGTTCAAAGATTTGTGTATGTTTCTTTTCTTCGCTAAATACTTGTAATAGTTTCCCTAACATATTTCCCATAAGCTCCTCGAAATTACTAGCATGTCCTTGTGACTTTGCATAATGTAAATGAAACTGAATTGACCTGAAAAGTACGGCTTTTCTGTCATTGCAGAGAGTGGCATGGACCCTGCCGAGTGGGCTGCTAAACTGGAAGATAGATTCTACAACAACCATGCGTTCAAGAGCCCTGAGGTAGTTGTATAAGTTTAGGTAATGGTCGCACCATACTTGTGCAACCTCATTCCCCAAAGAGTTGGACTGCTGTGTAAACTGTAACACGAAACAACATGCAGTGATATACAAGATACTCAATAAGAAAAAAGAAAAACCAACTCTGTGTTTACCTGAAAATGGTACCAACAGATATTAAAGGCTGAAAATAACTTTAAATTTAATTAGAATTTTATATAAATGTAATATCTGCTCATGTTTAATTGGACAAAACGTTTTTTTAAAAATCACCAAGAAAACTGCGGGCTAATGTTCCAAAGACTGGTTTTGAAAGCATGTGTTGCCTTTAGTTGCTCGGCATATTATTTCAACAGTTGTTGTTCTTTTTTGTCATATATTGTGGTTCCAATGGGCCAGAAGTTTTTATTGGATGACAGGTTTTAACTGCAAACAGGCCAGTTTAGTTCTCTGACCTATACTGCAAATGTGTGCTGTTGTAAATACAGTGCCTTCTCATTTTTATTTATTTTTTTAGTTTGTTGCACTTAAATGTTTCCAAGAAAAGATTTCATTTATTATGAGAAAAACCTATCTGGTGTCATGCCATGGTCTAAAGAAACACAAGAACAGATAAGAAATAAGGTCTGCAAGTAAAAGACAAATAAAAGTCCACCTCAAAATGGCTCAGAAAAACTAAATCAAGGCTTTGGTGTTACCTAGTCAAAGTCTGGACTTAAATTAGATTGATTCCATTTGCTATGACTAATTTCCTTCAGGATTAATAAAGTATTCTGATTCTGAAAAACAGGCTGTTCATGCTGCAAAAACCCTAGTCCTCCAATGCGAAATAAAACAAAGACAGTGCAGCATATATGGTTAACTTTTTACAAAATGTGGTCCTGCAATCTGTGAAGCTTGAGATCCTGCCATCAGTGTTTGATGGAGAAAAGAAATCTCATGTGACCATTAAATCTGCTCCTCTACCATCATAAACTAGTACTTGTTGGTCTTCTAAACAGGAGGAGTGCAGCCAGTCCCAGAAGAAGGAGGACATTGTGGACATCATGGACATCCCCCTGGATGATCCCGAGGCCAACAGGGCTGCTGCCAAAATTCAGGCTGGCTTTCGTGGCCACATGATTCGTAAGCAGCTGAAGCCAGAGGTCAAAGAAGGAGATAAGGTGAGCAACATTGTGTTCAACAGCAGCCAGTTGGACTGAGCTTGGGTATGAGAGATATAAGGCAGTTAATGAGGGCTAGGTTGTTTAAACATAAACCAATTAAACATTTTAGGGAAAATTTTCAGAGTTTAAAAAAATTAATTTACTAAATAAAAAGTTTGATATTGTCTTTGATGCAAGAGGAAAATTTAAGGGAAAAACTCAGTTTTACAAAAGATAAAGGAGTGTTCTGAGAATTAAAGCAAAAAAAAAAAATTATAAGTGAAACTAATTATTTTTTCTTCCTCATTCTTCAAACTTGGATCAAGCTCATTGCACTACAGACTTAAGCACAGTCATAGTAAGGACATTTGAAGAGACATTTCCATGAATTGGACAGCCTGTTCAACAGCAAGACGGCAAAGATCCAACTTTAGTACTACTCCTACATTGCAATAGAGAGACCAATATGACCATTGCTTCTTACATTCTTGCTGCTGTGTTTTATCGAGAGCACTTTTTGAGTCTTGGGTCTGTCTGATGAAATAATGAGGTTTAAGGACAAAAACACAATTTTTCTCTC